AAACATCCTGGGTATGGTAAAATTTGAAACACGAAATCATAAATTATAATTTAATAAATAATCATAAAAAATAATAATATAATAATACATTTAATTCAATAATGTAATCAACCCAAAAACACTGAAATTTGAAATATAGCGCCAAGTTCGCACATCACTGAGCAAAGTCGCAAAATCGTTTTCAGTGTCTGATGACAAATTTCCCCACGAATCATTATCACTGAATTCTGCAAGTGGTTCTGATTTACTATCGCTGTTCTCTAGCCGTCTAAAACCGATTTTGACCTAAAGGGACGCTTTTTGGACCCCATGGACGTTTCTCAGTTTCCAGGACGAAAGAACAGTAAAAATGCAGGCAGGGCACAGGACAAAGCACTCGGGACAAAATGTATGTGAAATGGTTTGATACAGTAATGTTTTATTATGTGATTTTAGTGAATTTAGTGAATGTCACTTTTTGTCATTTTCAAATTTCCCGCCAGTTCCATCCCCCGTATGTCCCGACGTCGCAGGGAACGGAACCCAGAAGACAGATGCCGGCATCTGCTGGAGAACGTTACAGGGGACACTGCAGGAGGGACATTGCGGGAGCGCAGGACAAGGTAAGTGAAGAACAGATCCCGGAGCAGCGCCGTATGGTAAGCCCGAGTGTAGCTCGGGGTTACCGCTTGTGGTACTGAAACTTTACCCCAAGCTACACTCGGGAATACCACCAGGGAGGCTACAGGCCAATTCCAGTCAAACATAAAAATTCACACTTGGGTGGACTTACACTTATTTCTAGCTTAGTCTACCTCTAATGACTTCTGTTCAGTGCTTCAGTAGCCTGACTTAGCTCTAATTCACACTGCTGCGACTTCTGGTGTAACTTGCTGCGACCTGCGACACAGAAAGTCGCAAAACAAATAAAAACGCATTGATTTCAATAGGTGCCATTCTAATTGATGAGACTGAAGTCACAGCAACAAAAAAAGTTCCTGCACTACTTTTCTGTGTCTTGGGCGTGCCATGAGTGCCCTGAACTGCAATGGTAAAATCACGAAAGTCGCAAGGTAATAGTATCTTTGTCTTATCTTTGCGATTCTGGTTGCAGCTTCAGAGGGTCTTTTTAAGTCAAAGACGCAAAACATCAAAGTCACATTGAATCCGCATCAAGTCCCAAATCCAAAGTTGCACTGGATGTCGCGCAACTTACGGGTTGCAGCAGTGTGAACCAAGACAAAGTTACCTGAAACAAGTGTACAGATGAGTTCTGACTTCACTTACTGCATGCTGGTTAAAGTCAGGGATTCTAAAAATATTGAAAAGAGAGTCAGACAGGCATTAAAATTGAATGAAATTAGCAATGGCTGCGTAAAGATTGGCTGAAGTTTGTATGCTGATCCCTGCTCACATTTTTGTGCCCAGGGGCATATACACTATATTGCCAAAAGTATTGGGACGCCTGCCTTTACACACACATGAACTTTAATGGCATCCCAGTCTTAGTCCGTAGGGTTCAGTATTGAGGTGGCCCACCCTTTGCAGCTATAACAGCTTCAACTCTTCTGGGAAGGCTGTCCACAAGGTTTAGGAGGGTGTCTATGGGGCGGTTTGACCATTCTTCCAGAAGTGCATTTGTGAGGTCAGGCACTGATGTCAGATGAGAAGGCCTGGCTCGCAGTCTCCACTTTAATTCATCCTAAAGGTGTTCTGTCGGGTTGAGGTCAGGACTCTGTGCAGGCCAGTCAAGTTCCTCCACCCCAAACTGGCTCGTCAATGTCTTTATGGACCCTGCTTTGTACACTGGTGCTCAGTCATGTTGGAACAGGAAGGGGCCATCCCAAAACTGTTCCCACAAAGTTGGGAGCATGAATTTGTCCAAAATCTCTTGGTATGCTGATACCTTAAGAGTTCTCTTCACTGGAATTAGGGGGCAAATCCCAACCCCTGGAAAACAACCCCACACCATAATCCCCCCTCCACCAACTTTACACTTGGCGCAATGCAGTCAGGCAAGTACCGTTCTCCTAGCAACTGCCAAACCCAGACATGTCCACCGGATTTCCAGACATAGAAGCGTGATTCGTGACTCTAGAGAACACGTCTCTACTTCTCTAGAGTCCAGTGGCGGCGTGCTTTACACCACTGCATCTGACCCTTTGCATTGCACTTGGTGATGTAAAGCTTGGATGCAGCTGCTCGGCCATGGAAACCCATTCCATGAAGCTCTCTACACACTGTTGTTGTGCTAATCTGAGGGCTACACAAAGTTTGGCGGTCTTTAGCTATTGACTCTGCAGACAGCTGGCGACTTCTGTGCACTGTGCGCTTCAGCATGTGCTGACCACGCTCTGTCAAGTGGCCTACCACTTCATGGCTGAGTTGCTGTTGTTCCCAGTTGCTTCCACTTTGTTATAATACCACAAACAGCTGACCGTGGAATATTTAGTAGCAAGGAAATTTCATGGATGGACTTATTGCGCAGGTGGCACATTTGAATTCACTGAGCTCCTGAGAGCGACCCATTCTTTCACAAATGTTTGTAGAAGCAGTCTGCATGTCTAGATGCTTGATTTTATACATATGTGGCCATGGAGGTGATTGGAACACCTGATTCCAGTGACTTGGAGGGGTGTCCCAATACTTTTGGCAATATAGTGTATATATATATATATATATATATATATATATATATAAAACAGACAAGTCTTGCCTATTATTTAAAACTGAAATATTACCCAGCAAAGTATGTAAATTATTAGAGTAAAAGCAGAGCAGTTACAGCTACATAGTTACATAATTAGTCTGGCTGAAAAAAGACAAAAGTCCATCCAGTTCAACCATAAAAAAAATTTAAAATCCTATACCCACAGTTGATCCAGAGGAAGGCAAAAAAACCCAGCAAATCGTAATCCAATTCGCTCCTGCAGGGGAAAAAATCCTTCCTGATCCCCCGAGAGGCAATCGGATATTCCCTGGATCAACTTTACCTATAAATGTTAGTATCAAAGAACAGAGGTATATCGCTCAGGCAAACAATCGAGATCAATCCACAACAGGTGTGGGTTCTGGCTCGCCACCACACACAATGCAACAAGAAGAAGGGTCAGCTGCACACTGGAGGATAGATGAATATAGTGTATATTTATTGATCTATAGGACACACAAAACACCAGGACATGAATACGGGACCTGTTGATGCATTTTACACGATCCCGAGATTGTGTGAAAACTCGTTAACAGGTCCTGTATTCATGTCCTGGTGTTTTGTGTGTCCTATAGATCAATAAATATACACTATATTCATCTATCCTCCGGTGTGTGGCTGACCCTTCTTCCTGTTATAAATGTTATATCCAGTTATATTCTGTGTATCTAGGAAACAATCCAGACCTTTTTTACAGCAATCCACTGAGCTGGCCAGAACCAACTCTTGAGGGAGTCTATTCCACATTTTCACAGCTCTCACTGTGAAGAAACCTTTACGTGTTCGGAGATTAAATTTCTTTTCCTCCAGATGTAAAGAGTGCCCCCTTGTCCTCTGTGATGACCTCAGGGTGAATAGCTCTACACCGAGTTCACTATATGAACCACTGATGTATTTATACATGTTGATCATATCCCCCTTAATCTCCTCTTCTCAAGAGAGAATAAATTCAGTTCCTCTAATCTTTCCTCATAGCTGAGCTCCTCCATGCCTCTTATCAGTTTGGTTGCCCTTCTCTGTACTTTCTCCAGTTCCCCAATGTTCTTTTTGTTAATTGTTGCCCCAAAACTGAACTGCATATTCCAGATGAGGTCTTACTAATGATTTGTACCGGGGTAATATGATATCTCTCTCTCTGGAGTCTATACAAGAGAGGATTTTGCTTGCTTTAGAACCCGCAGCTTGGCATTGAATGTCATTATTAAGCTTGTGATCTACCAGAACCCCCAGATCCTTCTCCACCATTGATTCCCCCAGTTGTTCAGTTTTTTGTAACCCCCCCCCCATCTTCTGTAAATACATATTTTCCTTCTGCTGTACAGCCACTGCATCCATCTGCCTGGAGCAAATAGGTGAAGCCCTGTCTAAGCTCCAATTGGCGACTTAGAGCTACAGCTCACCATACACTGTAATATATATTTCATTCGGCCTGTGAGATGAACAAAAAGAAACAAACAGTTTGCTCCATTCACCCTAAGCAGCACAGATGGATGAATCTCCTATTACGGCTATTGTATTTTGACAGCCAGCACCTGCGAATTATCAGAATACCCAAAACAGCATCATCTCAGTGGATGCAGTGGCTGTTCAACTGACAGATTTCCATTAGGCTCCTTCGATTTTACAGTCAGAAGATGCTAAGTGGGAAGTTGGTAACAAAGGCCACCTACATGGTGAGATTCAGCTGGTTTATCAAGAACCAGACAAAATCTGCAAAGTGTATGGACAACTTTTTCTACGGAAAGAAGGGGAGTAAGGGCCAGTTCACACCACGAAAATGCACTCCAGATCTGTTCTGGATGCGCTTCTGCATGCACATTTTTAAACATGTTTTTGATACATTCTGGTGCATTTTTGTTGTATCTTAATGCATTTCTGGATGCATTCCAGATGCTTTTTTTTGTCGTGTTTTGGGCTCTCATATGTTTTTGATGCATTCCAGTCAGTCCAGTGCAGGAACATTGGAACATGTTCTACTTTTTTTCTTGAACTAGAACACTCTGGAACTGACCGCACTGGTGTGAACTATGCCATTGAAAACCATTTAACCTACTTTCCATATATTTTTGATGCCGAAAAAAAACGCACTGGACTGCATGTGGAGTGAACCGGCCCATAGTGCAGAGTTCCTCTATATCTTGGAAAAACCCATTATTTTCCTTTTACCAGCAGAAAGGAAAGTAAAATACAAAATCATATATTAATTTCCACATTATATTTCAATTATTTCTAGCCTACCCCTATTAATCGGAATGACCTTGACCATGTGTGCTGTGACCATAGAACTCCTTTAAAGTGTTGCTAAACCCAGGACCCTGTATTCACTATATCTGGTCTCCCACAGTACACATAACATTGAAATGCAATTATTTTAGTAAATATAAACTGCTAAATACCTTTCCTCATCAGCAGTTAGAGTAGTCTTTTGACTACTATCAGTGTCCAGCAGAGCACTGGTTAAAGCTTGTAGGAGTTTTCATTCTCCCCGACTGTCCTGTGAGGCTGCAGGACCCCTGAACCTCTGTCTGGACAGCACTGATTAGCCCTGTGCTAATCACATGCACCCTCCCAAAAAAAAAAAAACCTCTCTAGCAATACACACCAAACTGAGCATGTGTAGCTTGCCCCCAAGGTACTGTTCCATCAAGAGATGGATTTGGGACAGGAGAAGAAGGGGAGGATCAGAAAAGATAGAATCAAATCCTTTTTACACAATGTAGAGGATTAACTCCTTAGGTTCCACAGTGAGTATAGCAAGCATGCTTTACTGCATATACAGACTGATTTTACTGTTGTGGGTTTAGTAACACTTTAAGTGTGCTGCTGGTGGAGCTGCCATTAAAGTGCACCTAATGCTGTGCTCTGCATGGATACAGCACAGGTCCACTTTAAAGTGGTAGTAAATTTTGCTTTTTATCTTGCACCTACAGGTAAGCCCATCAGGTAGGTACAGTGAATATCTCCTAAAGTGCACTGTGTAGTAGCATGTTGTCTATTTAGAGATCTGTGCTGCTGCTGTGAGACTGCAAACCTGAAAGGAAGACTAGGTGAAGAAAGGTGAAGGTGGAAGACTAGGTGAAGAAAGGTGAAGGTGTAAGACTAGGTGAAGAAAGGTGAAGGTGGAAGACTAGGTGAAGAAAGGTTAAGGTGGAAGACTAGGTGAAGAAAGGTGAAGGTGGAAGACTAGGTGAAGAAAGGTGAAGGTGGAAGACTAGGTGAAGAAGGGTGAAGGTGGAAGACTAGGTGAAGAAGGGTGAAGGTGGAAGACTAGGTGAAGAAGGATGAAGGTGGAAGACTAGGTGAAGAAGGGTGAAGGTGGAAGACTAGATGAAGAAGGGTGAAGGTGGAAGACTAGATGAAGAAGGGTGAAGGTGGAAGACTAGATGAAGAAAGGTGAAGGTGGAAGACTAGGTGAAGAAGGGTGAAGGTGGAAGACTAGATGAAGAAGGGTGAAGGTGGAAGACTAGATGAAGAAGGGTGAAGGTGGAAGACTAGGTGAAGAAGGGTGAAGGTGGAAGACTAGATGAAGAAGGGTGAAGGTGGAAGACTAGAGATGAAGAAGGTGAAGGTGGAAGACTAGGTGAAGAAAGGTGAAGGTGGAAGACTAGATGAAGAAGGGTGAAGGTGGAAGACTAGGTGAAGAAGGGTGAAGGTGGAAGACTAGGTGAAGAAGGGTGAAGGTGGAAGACTAGGTGAAGAAGGGTGAAGGTGGAAGACTAGGTGAAGAAGGGTGAAGGTGGAAGACTAGATGAAGAAGAGTGAAGGTGGAAGGCTAGATGAAGAAGGGTGAAGGTGGAAGACTAGATGAAGTAGAGTGAAGGTGGAAGACTAGGTGAAGAAAGGTGAAGGTGGAAGACTAGATGAAGAAGGGTGAAGGTGGAAGACTAGGTGAAGAAAGGTGAAGGTGGAAGACTAGGTGAAGAAGGGTGAAGGTGGAAGACTAGATGAAGAAGGGTGAAGGTGGAAAACTAGGTGAAGAAGGGTGAAGGTGGAAGACTAGGTGAAGAAGGGTGAAGGTGGAAGACTAGATGAAAAAAGGTGAAGGTGGAAGACTAGGTGAAGAAGGGTGAAGGTGGAAGACTAGGTGAAGAAGGGTGAAGGTGGAAGACTAGGTGAAGAAGGGTGAAGGTGGAAGACTAGGTGAAGAAGGGTGAAGGTGGAAGACTAGGTGAAGAAGGATGAAGGTGGAAGTCTAGGTGAAGAAAGGTGAAGATGGAATCCTGGTTGGTGTTGACAGCATGCTGCTGCAGGGCTCTGGTTTTTAGGGGTTTTTAGGTAGCTACGAGCACATTATGACATGAGCCTGTGGGGGGGACCTGTGTTTTTTTTTTAATGCACTTTACTACCGCTTTAAAGTGTTACTAAACCCACAACATTAAAATCAGTCTGTATATGCAGTAAGGCATGCTTGTTACATTCACTGTGGAACCTAAGGGGTTAGTCCTCTGCATTGTGTAAAAAGGCTATTTTATCCTAACTTCTCTGATCCTCCCCTTCTTCCAGTGTCCCCCTCTTATCTCCTGATAAGACATATGGTGTGGAGTCAGTCTGCACATGCTCAGTTTGGTGTGTAGTGCTAGAAAGGTTTTTTTTTTCTTGGGAGGGTGCATGTGATCAACATAGGGCCAATAAGCACTGTCCACACAGAGGTCAGGGGTCCTGCATCCTCCTAGAGCAGAACGGAAACTCCTCCTACAAGCTTTAACATGTGCTCGGCTGGACACTGATAGAAGTCACAAGACTGCTGTAACTGCTGATGAGAAAAGGTATTTATCAGTTTATATTTATTAAAATAATTGCACTTCCATATTGTGTGTACTGTGGGAGACCAGATATAGTGAATGCAGGGTCCTGGGTTTAGTAACACTTTAACCACCTCCCGTCTGGCCATTGTATATAAACGGCTGGAGGGTGGCAGTGCAGGGGTCGGATGGCCGTTTATAAATGGCCTCCTCGCACATTGCTTGTGAGCGCTCCTTGGGAGCGCGCAGCACCGCGATCCGGTGCCCGCTGTGTCCTCCGGACACAGTGGAACACCGATCGTCAGACGGGACCTCTGTGCGAGGTCCCGATCATGTGATCATTGATTGGCCAATCAGTGATCACATGCAGAATAGTAAGCAAGATGTGACTTGTGACATCATTGCTTACTGCATGTGAAATCTGTGATTGATCACAGAGGTCACATGGTACAAAGCTATTCACAACAGCCTTGTACCATGTGACAAGCTGTGACCAATCACAGCTCACACAGTAGTTCTCAATGGCTGCAAGAATGCAGCTAGAGAGAAGGAGGAATGATTGATTTTTACAGCATTTATAGGTATAAAAGCAATCAGTGTGAAAACAAAAACAAAGTAGTGCAGTGTCACCATGGTGATACTGTACTGCTAGGGTGACAGTATGTAAAAAAAACAAAAACAAAAAAACATATATAATATTATAAAAAAAAAAATTATTAAAAATTATAATTTTGGTTATAAACTAATTTTTGGGTTAATTTTTTTTTTACTAAAAAAATAACGGAATACATTTTGGCCAAGATTTATGCTGAAATACTATTTATTTGCAAAATTTTATAAGAAAAACACTTTTTTTTCAAAATTTTTGGACATTTTAATTTACATAGCAAAAAAAAAAAAAAAAATCCCAGTGGTGAATAAATACCACCAAAATAAAGCTTTATCTGTCTCAAAAAAATGCTAAAAAATTCATATGGGTACAGTGTTGCATAACCGCGCAATTGTCATTCAAAGTGTGGTAGCGCTGAAAGCTGAAAATTGGTCTGGACAGGAAGGGGGTAAAAGTGTCCGGACAGGAAGTGGTTAAGCTACAGATTTAAGGATAGTGAGTCAACAAAGAAAAAAATCTCCCTCTCCCACCTGGTGTTATTCTTAGTATACAGGATACCAGGGTATGTAGGAGAATAACGGAAGCAGCTTAAGTTTGAGGAACCCACTAGAGAATTCCTGTACAGCGAAGAACAACATAAAGACCCAGCTAGTCCCAGCTTCCATTTTGTACCGTTTTATATCTGCTGATCCAGCAAAGCGAGAAAATTCTGTAATGCTGACATCTTTGTGACAGATTGGAGGTAATTGTGGACAGGTAAAATCTCTCGATGAAAGTATAATTAGAATGCTGACGTCCATGCCCTGCATTATTTTAAGATGCCATCCATTATAAAATAAGTCCCTATAGCCTTTTATACAAAATATTGAACAATGTATAGACTGTTAAGGCAATACAATTAAAACCGTTCTCAATCAGGTGCTTGGCAGCGAGACAAAAAGTTGGGGAGAAATAATTACAATGACATCACTACTGTGATTTTTGACTTAAAAACAGTGATATCCCACCTGGACAAAGGCTACACAAGAGGTGGTAAGTGCTAGCTGTACTGAAAACTGCTGGCGGGAGAGAATACAGCATAATCATTTTTTATATTTTAATATTTACATGACAATATATATATTTTTTTTTTAGTCCTGACCTTTTTAGTTCTGACTATGACAAATCATGGGTCTTGATGATGATCTGACACACTGGCTCAATTATATGTTCATGTTTAAAGGTGTAGTGTAAAATATGCATATAATACCTAATCAACATGTAATTACAACGGTTCAATCAAATCAGTTAGTTTTCAAGAAATAGCTCATTTGAGCCCCAACAACATCATCCCTGGATCTGTATGCTGTTCTGAGTTTAGTGGGAGGAGCTAGAAGGGTCCTAAAAAACACAGCTTTTCCAAGGCAACACAACAGCTCAGTGGTTAGCACTGTGCCTTGCAGCGCTAGAGTCCTCAGTTTGAGTCCCAGTCATGGCACTGGATGGAATTTGCTCGTTTTCCCTGTGTTTGCATGGGTTTCCTCCAACACTCCAAAGACATGCTGTTCGGTTAATTGGCCCGTGTCTAAATTTTCCCTAGTGTGATATCCTACTAAGTGCACCAAAGTTAGCTGCATCACCATCTGCCCCAACAGTAAATAGATAAAAATATACATTAATTAATTATTTCTTAACCAGGAGCATTGTATGAAAGAACATAATCCCAGCATCCCTTTAGATGTGTATGCTCCTTCCTGCTGACCACAGGGAGATACAGACTTTAGTTGTGCAATCTTTTGATCAGTTGCTTGATTTGTAACTTCTTAAAGTGGAACTATAGGCTATAACTAAGGTTAAAACTGCTCCCTCCCCCCAACACCTATGCTAACTACCCTGTAGAACAAAGATACATATACAGTGCTTACCTATTCTCAGGGCACTCCACTCCGGTCACATGATTGGCTTTTCTCTCTCAGCTAGCAGAGTTTACAGTGGTGAGAAGGGACAGCCGACAATGGTTGCCCCATAGTAAGCCTATGGCTGGCATTTCTGCCCAGGCA